CTTAGAGCAATAGGCATTAATTAGAAATAAAATCTATTTTCCCTTATTCTCTCATGTATTTTTCAGGACTTATAATAAACCTTATAATAAATATATTCTTGCCTTCTCAAATCTGGGCACTCAACGCATCAATTTCTTTAAAAATTAATAATAAACCTGATATGGTTAGCACATTTTATACACTGACATTCAAAAATCATCTAAAATTAAGATTTCCTCTGACTCTAGGCACTTTAACATAAATAATATAACACAACCCTAGCAGTAATTATTTCAATGGGAAGGCAGTCCTTCAGACCTCTATGGATACTCCTTTCCATTCTTCCACTTGCTGGGAAATAATCTTAATTCTCCTGACAAAATTCTGTCCTACATGCCTTTGGCACAAGAAGATGACTGGATTAAAGCTATTTCTGGTGATGACAGAAAACAATCCCCCAATCCTGGAGAACATCCTGACACCTGTTCCTGAAGTTTAATTAGGACATAAAAAACTGGCTTCTGCTGGCTGGGATAAACTGGTCTGCAATTGTTAAAAGCTTTACAAGGCAGAACTGGTGGGTTAAATCCCAGTGCTCATCTAAGTGGGTGCCAAGCAGGATGTTCTGCTTCAAAGAGGATCTCCTGGTGCTGCTCCTACCACTCGGGCAGGACTGTGACAGCAGCAGCTGCAAGTGGGATGTGTTCTGCACCTCATTTGCCATCGATCCCCACAGCTGTCTTGTCAAATCCTGCCAGCCTGCAGAACACTGCTCTGCCAGTGCATCCTTGGAAATGCACGGTATGGGTGTCAGCTCAGGCAGCCCTTGTGTGCTGAGCTGAAATGCATCCAGAACAGCCTCGGGGCCATCTTCTGCAGATACTACAAAGAAACACAATTTCTGTCCAAGTTCAGTGTTAGGGCACACCCCACCCCATTCCTGGAGTGGCCACTGCAATCATTACTTGCCTTAAAATGCACAGAGGTAATTTAAAAGCTCCCTCAGTGTTAATGTCATGCCATTTTCACACTAACAGTTCAAAGTCAAAGTAAACAAGTTTCAGCCACACACACAAACACTTTCTGCTTTTTTGAGTTACCAAGCACATACCATAAAGACAAGTCTTGCTTTGTAATCGCTGATTTTCCCTCCCTGTACAGTTATTCAGATCTCATTCCAGAATTCGTCATCTGGTTAATTAACAGATTTCAGTTTGTTCTGTGTTTAAGGGGAGATTGTGGCTTGACTCTGGGAAAATGCACAAACGAGGTAGCAGCTTGTTTTTCAGCTCCTGTTTTTGCATTTTCTGCCTAAGAGCCAGGGAAGCATGTAAATTAGGAAGCACACGTATCTTGCAGGATTAGCATTTCTCAGAAGGCAGAGAAATGACAGCACACCTTCCAGTCTCAAGACAGAAAAATTCATCATGCACCATTTCGGGGGTGGATTTTTTCATGTTTCTCTGCCAAGCTACTGATCTGAAATCTTATTTTTGTTTCATTCATCCTTCTTTCAGTAACAGCAGCTCCTCTGTTGGCAATATAATTGTTCATATTATGATGCCTCAAGTGAGGTTAAGGCTGTATGATGAAAACATATGCCACATACAAATATACATAATGTCCAATATAGGAAATCTATCAGGATTCATTTGGTGCAGTTACCTGAGCACTCTGCATAATAATCCCACAGGAAATATTTCACAATGTGAACATCAAATACGTAAAACTGCCTCAAGGCCAAGAGAACCAGAATGCACTAAATGAATTTTCGTATAAGGATCTACTCCTTCAGAGATTTAAATTAAAATGCAAAGAAATTTTCCCAAGTAATCCCGAGAGTGTAAATTTAGGAGGGAAAAGGCCAAAACCTTTAGATATTTTTTTAGTAAATATATTCTGCAGCCAAAGGCTTAACTCAGATCAGCTTTTTTTATGGTGCGTAGGTATTTCAAGGCAAAAAAAATAATTGATTCTAATGTGCATGGTAATAAATGAAATGTCTGCTTCTGGCACTTAGAAACACAATGGTCCCAGTAGATCAACTTGATGCTGTGTTTATCATGGGCCATCAGATTTCAACCTGCATTCATCCAATAAAATAAAGCATAACTTCTCCTCTGCTGAAAACTAATTTTCAGAAATACATCTGATCTTCAACAGAAAATATGAAATGATGGCAAATCCTCAGCTTCTTTTGGGAATGTGTTCTGGTGGTTAACCATGGAAAAATGTGTGTCTGATTTCCTATTTGAATTTGTCTGGCTTTTGCCTCTGGCCATTATTTCTTATTATGCCTTTCTTCAATAGATTAAAGAGCCCTTTAATATCCTGTATTTCCCCTCAGGAATGTTCCTATACACTACAATCAAGTCACCTCCCAATTCTCTTCCAGATAACTTTAACAGCCTGAGCTCTTAAAACATCCCAGCGTGAGGCATTTTCTCCAACCACCAGAACATTTTGCTTCATTCTTTTGCTCTCTCTTATTTTCCAATGTGCTTCTTAAAATCTGAAAACCAGCACTGTATGCACTACCCTGTGATGATATTATTGACGTCAAACATAAGAGGTAAAATAAACACTTTTTAATTCCTTTGTTTATATATTGATTAATCCTTTTCTGCCATAGCAGCATACAGGAGAACCCTTATCTGATTGCTTACTTATCTGGCCCTTAAATCCTTCTCAAAGTCATTACCTTCACAGTCCTCTATTTTCCAGGAATGATGTCCACACTTGGGTTTTAAGACAGACAGCTATTTGGTTTGATGAATGAAAATTCACTAGGTTTAGGCAAGCTGCTTGTACAAACTTGCATTGTATTGATCAGTGCCCCATCCTGATCATTATTTACAATTCCATTAATTCTGAAGCTGAATTTTTGCAGCAGCAGGTTTGGGTCAGCTTCCAGATCATTGCTAAAAATGTAGCAGGTCATGGAACCTGCTACTAGGACCCCTTTAGACACCATCTCTTTCAACAAAATTGTCATATGGATTTCTTCTTGAGATATGGCAACAAATTCTGTATGTATGGTTTGTTGGCACTGTATGAGAATATCACAGCACCAAACCAAGTACCTCCTCAAAACAGTATTGATAGCTATTTTAACTAAAACACTGTAGATGTGCATCATATTCCTTTGTTTCAACTTTTTATTATTTGAATTCCACAACAGATTTTCTATTTTGGTTAGGATTTAAGATAGCCAGTCGCTTGGGTCACAAAACCGGCACAAAACAACAGTTTAACACTTCTTTAACCTCCTGATTTTAAGGCAAGACACAAATACACGGGAACAGCATCTGTAGCACAGCCAGAAACAACAGAATGCAGAGGAGACCAGAGATCGCACTTCTCACAGCATTTCCAGGATGGAAACCGTAGGAACTGCGGACTTGCGAAGTCCCTGCTGACAAATATCCTGGTCCTGCTGAACTCCCAGCCCTGCACACACACACACAGGGAGATGTGGAGTCTCTCCCGACCGTGGAGACGGGATAAGACACGACTGCTTTGCCTCAGGCCCTGCAGAACCTCCCGGAGCCGCCGCGGCTGAACCGGCCTGACCGCCGGGGCCAGCGCCACTCGCAGCCGCCACTTTCCCTCCTATTTACACCACCACATTCCGCCTCCGAGCACTCTTAAGCAGCACCACGGGAAGTTTACGTTGGGCATTAGGAAGAATTTCTTCCCGGAAAGCGTGATTAGGAATGGGCTGTCCAGGGAACTGGCGGAGTCACTGTCCCTGGAGGTATTTAAGGAAAGACTGGATGGGGCAATCAGTGCCATGGTCTAGTGGGCACGGTGGTGATGGGTGGCAGGCTGGGCTCGATGATCTCAGAGGTCTCTTCCACCACAGTTGATTCGGTGTTTCTGTAGCGAAGATG